GGAGGGGGAGGGGAGTGGGCAGGGGTCCTAGCGGCCCTTAGGCCCTACCTCCCAGCTGCGCCCCGACGGGGCCTCAGAACTCGCACCAAAGGGAGTTGGTAGGGGGCGCTCTTTTCTCCCTGGTCCGGTCCCGGAGTGCGTGAACCCTTATCCGCCCTTCTCTGTGGAACCCTCCTCCCGCGACTCCCTTCCGTCCGTCTGTCTGTCTGAGGGCCTCCTTTCCGTCTGAGTGTGTGTCAGCCCCCAACAGGCTTCCTCTCGTTGGGGTAAGGTCGACCCCTCCACCGCGGTCTGTCCGGCTGTCTCAGGCCCTCCCTCCCAGTTTTTCTCCAGTTTGTTTTTCTGTCTCTGTCCTCACCCCACCCCCACAACCTCTCCTGTTCTCTTTGTCTCTGGACTCCCCAGTTTCCTCTGCCTGTGGACCCCCCACATTCCCTGTCTCTCTGGGACTCCCAGGCAGATAACCTCTATTCGTCTCTACTTCCCACTTCTTCAACCGTTCCTTTTCTACCTCAGGCCCCTCCCTCTTTTCTGTTTGTCTGTCTCAGTCTGAGGTTGCTCTCTCCCCCAGCCCCCACCGCAGTCCTCTGTCTTGGGTCATCTACCCAGCCTTACTCCTCCACCTGCCCTCCTCACTGACTTGTCAGTGATTTCCCCCCAAAATTCTCAGGGTCTTCTTCCCCCAGTTGGTTTAGGTTTTGGGGTCTTAATAGCCAAGTTTGTCTGCCTTTTTACTGCCCTTCCACTCCTCATCCCTTCCCCCAGCCAGCCTGCCTCTAGCTCCTCAAACATCCCTTTTTTTTCTCTTTCTCCAGTAAACCTGACAGGTCCCTTCCCAAGTTCCTAGGGACAGCAGAGGACTTGGGGACCAGCGAGCAGCCCCAGGGCACGAGAAGAGCCTCTGCCACCTGCCCTGCCTCACCCTGCCCCACGCCAGGCCCGGCCACCCCGGCCCCCGGCTGCATCAAGTGGAGGAGGAGGAGGCAGCGGAGGAGGGTGGCACCATGGGCCCGGGCCGTGCCCTCCATGCCAGGGGGATGAAGACTCTGCTGCCATGGACAGCCCGTGCCAGCCGCAGCCCATAAGTCAGGCTCTCCCTCAGTTGCCGGGTTCTGTGTCAGAGCCCTTGGAGCCTGGCCGGTCCAGGATGGGGGTGGAGAGGTACCTGCCGTGTCCCCTGCTACCCTCCTACCACCGCCCAGGAGCACCTGCTGAGGCCTCGGCAGGGAGTGGGATTCCCAGAGCCACAGCCACTTCCACCACAGCCAGCCCCCTGCTGGAGGGCTTCTGTGGGCAAGATGGTGGCGAGCTGCGTCCACTGCAGAGTGAGGGTGCTGCAGCATTGGTCACCAAGGGGTGCCAGCGACTGGCAGCTCAGGGTGCCCGGCCTGAGGCCCCCAAGCGGAAATGGGCAGAGGATGGTGGGGATGCCCCCGCACCCAGCAAGCGGCCGTGGGCCAGGCAGGAGAACCCCGAGGCGGAGGAGGAGGGGGAGGGTGGCTTGGGCTGCAGCAGTGGCCACGGGGAGGCCAGTGCCCGCCTGAGGGAGGAGGAGCTGCCTGCTGCACCTGAGCGCCTGGCCCTGGACTATATCGTGCCCTGCATGCGGTACTATGGCATCTGTGTCAAGGACAGCTTCCTGGGGGCGGCACTGGGTGGCCGTGTGTTGGCCGAGGTAGAGGCCCTGAAACGGGGCGGGCGCCTGCGTGATGGGCAGCTAGTGAGCCAGCGAGCTATCCCGCCACGCAGCATCCGTGGGGACCAGATTGCCTGGGTGGAAGGCCACGAGCCAGGCTGCCGAAGCATCGGGGCCCTCATGGCCCATGTGGACGCTGTGATCCGGCACTGCGCTGGGCGGCTGGGCAGCTACGTCATCAATGGGCGCACCAAGGTAAGGCTGCCCAGCATGCATTTGTTTGATGCCTCGAACTCTGAGCACCAGTGGGTTTGGAGACACTTCTGGGGTCACAGGAATGTTTAGGAAGTTTCAACAGACCGAGTGTTGGAATTTGCTTTGGGCTCTCACTCCCTGTGGGGACTGGGGGTGGTCTGTGTGCTTTCTCCCTGTGGGCCATAGTTTGTGTACCTATAAACCAGGGGTTTGGCCTGTAGCCACAGTGCTGCTTGACCTTGCCAGGGATTCTCTTGAAGAACCTGAGGAGATGCTGACATTCATAGCCCCACACCTGTGCGTAGGCCATGGTGGGATTCACAGCCTCCTGACGTCTGTTCATGGGCCCCAGATCAAGAACAGTCCATGTAGATAGGCACGGTTCTGCCTCTGTCTTCGTCCTTTCGTGTCACTGTCTGCTGGTTCGTCTGTCTAGTCCATTCTGTGCCCCATCTGTGTCTGGTCTATCCGTTCTGTCTCCCAGGCAGGAGAACCAGAATGTGGAGGGTGGAGGGTGGCAGTAGGTAGTGAGGCCAGTGCCTGGCTAAGGGAGGTGCTGCTTGCTGGTGCTGGACTACATTGTGCTCTGTGTGCCATACTATGGTGTCTTCGTTAAGGACAGCTTCCTGGAGGTGGCACTGGGTGGCCATGTGCTCACTGGGGTGGAGGTCTTGTCCCCATCTTTCCCCTTTCTCCCCATCCTAGTCCCTGTTCTTCATCCTTTCTATCCTGTCTGCCCATCACTTCATCCCTGTCCAGCTCTTGTGTTCCTTGATCCACTGCATTTGTGTCTCTTCTTGGTCCCTTTTTCTTTAGTGTAATAGTTACTAATCTCTCTTAGGGCGCTGGGCCATTTTGAGAATCTGCCATTTTACATTGTTCTCTTAAGAAAA